ATGGGAATATATATGTATATATAAATATATAAATCACAATATTATCGAAAAAATACTTCTGCTAGTTATAACATATCTATTCATATCTATTAATTTATCACTTTTAAGAGTAAAACAATTACTCTTCCTAGAAAATATTTACACATTTTTTGACAATAAAAACCTTTATTTGGTTAGAAAGTAGCGCAACCGAAAAGTCGTCTGCCAGGCTGATGAACAGCATGCTGTATGCTTACCTCTCAGTCCTCATCCTACTTGCAATGCCTGTTTGTCTGCTTCTGCTTCTGTTTCTGCGCTCGTTTCGTATTTCTATTGTTTCCTTTTGCACATTGTTTCGTTTTAATATCCTATAGCAAATTACATTGCCGACGAAGTGGTGACTGTCTCTATGCCCTTTTTTACTTAGTTATTATTTTTTTCGCTTGCTTTATACATTGCATTGAGGTAGGTACTTAGAGTTATAATTTCCATAAGGAAACAGTACAACGCACCACAATAAAAACGCTTTCAAAAATAATTATAAAACCAGAGTGGCTAAAGCCAAAGCTCAGTACCTGGAGTAGGTGGATAAGCAGCTAATCGAGACTACAATCTGTGCTTGTAAAAGTAACATTGTCCCGTCTATAGAACGCCGAATCTACAGGGACATGAGGTGTAAGATAGTGATATCCAACGCGCCCGGCTAGCTCAGTCGGTAGAGCATGAGACTCTTAATCTCAGGGTCGTGGGTTCGAGCCCCACGTTGGGCGAATTGTAATATTTTTTTCTATCTATCTAACAACAATAGCAATATTTATAAAATAACAAAAATCAGAAAATAGATTTTCAGTAATGTTTTTTTTTTTTTTTGTTTATAACACTAGTATCGGGATAAACTGCGACAACTGGCCCATTAACTCAGCTGGTTAGAGCGTCGTGCTAATAACGCGAAGGCCGCGGGTTCGATCCCCCAACCAAGAGCCTTTTAATTTTATACTTTTAATTAACTCCTACCTACTTTTTTTTTAATAAACAATAAACTACATAAAAATTTTAGTTATTAAAATAAACTCCTTTAACTTGAACTGTATACCTCAGTATACCTTAGTATATAATTCAAGCTAAAGGAGTTTATTTTATTAACTATAATTTTTATGTAGTTTTTTTTTTTTTTTATCAAAAAAGGTAGGTAAGAGATAATTTAAAAAACAAAACTGAAAACCTTTGGCCCATGGGGGGATCGAACCCGCGACCTTCGCGTTATTAGCACGACGCTCTAACCAGCTGAGCTAATGGGCCACACTAATATGTTGTTTCGATGCCTATTTATCTTAAGTCAATCAGCGAATAACTAAAACTAAATATATGTAATAATATATTAATATGTAGTATAAAAGGATCTACATAAAATAAGTAATCTGGCCCATGAGGGGATCGAACCCGCGACCTTCGCGTTATTAGCACGACGCTCTAACCAGCTGAGCTAATGGGCCATATTGACGCCATTTTGTTTCCAGATATTTAATAAATCGAAATTCTTTGGTTTCGGTAACAACAAGCGTTTAAAACAAAAATAAGTGTTGGATCTGGCCCATGGGGGGATCGAACCCGCGACCTTCGCGTTATTAGCACGACGCTCTAACCAGCTGAGCTAATGGGCCCCACGATCAACCCCTTAATCCAAGAATGACTAACCTAAATAGCGATAACAAATATATATATATACATATATGTATTTACTTACCAAATGATCTATAAATAGCTTAAGTTGCCAAATTGAACACAGAAAAACAGAAATATTACGATTTAATTTATTGTACACTTTCCCGTCAGATTATCTGAAAACCGTTTACTTAATTGACCGCACCGATTGATTTTAATTCTGGAATGAAAGAGTCACACATTATTATTAACCAAAGCAAAGAAATGCAAACAACAAAAATTGCCTCAATGAAATTCAACAAAAACTAATGAAGAAATAAAAGTAACAACAGACAAATTTTAAGAAGCATACTGAAAAATATGTATATGCCTCGTAGAGATACATACAAGCGCACATACATATGAAATCAAGTGAAGTGTGTGTGTAGAGCCGACGCAATAAATTTTCTGTGGTGTAGGTTAGGGCAAGCAGCGTGAGCGCTTATTCTCTCGCACCCACTAAATACAGCGGCAAGGGAGAAAAAGAGACAGACGAACACAGACAGGCAGTAAGTTGCATGGCCGAGTGCACTAGCAGAGTGACGCACACGTTGACTGTGACTGCAGTTGCGGCAGCGACCGAACCAGAGAGCTTCAATAGGCCGATGTAGCGACGCGTCGCTGCAGCTTGCAGTTTTAGAAGAATGAGCGTAGAAACTAGCAGACGGCGCAAAAATAAAGCAGTATAAAGCAGTTTATGCATGTGTGTGTTTCTGTAAACGTGTCTGTGTGTGTGTGCGTGCGCAGCTACGGTCGACGAGGCAACGTGTAAGAAGAGCCGACAGGCTGGCATGTCCCGATGTCAGGGGCATGAAGTTGCAATGAAAACGAAATTGCAAACGGGAACCTAGACACAGCCCCATGCACACACACACACACACACACACACACTTACAGATTAGTATGTATCTGATCTATTTAAGTTTGTGTGTGTGTGCGTTATATTTAGTTACTTGTCTCTGGTTCTTACTGCACATGCTATGTGGCAATTTTAAATATGCATCTGTAAAATACATTCGCAAGGCAAACTTCGAGCCCAAGCAGCAGGAAGCAGGCAGCAGCCACAATTTTTTTCTCTCCGTTGCGCTATTTTCGCTTTCAACGAGGCTGCACAGCCCAAAATGGTCGACGCATTTAATTCTTCGGACAAGTTTTTGATTCAGCAGGTTAATGGGGCTATGGAATACGAGCTTTTTAGATACATAGATTCATGGGGACAAAGGACTCAGTTTATTAAGAGCTGCATGAGCGATTTTAATCCATTTACATTTATATTTGATTTGCACTATTGTCTTATATACCAAAGAAGGAAAATTGCGCTTTTATATGAAAAAACACCTACGATTCCCGAAAGATATATATAAACATATAGATACATATTTCCATTTTTTAATTTTTAAATTAATTCTTGACATATATTTTTATAAGCTCTAGAATTTTTCAAGTGTCCCTAGATATTAGGGTTCAAACAAGTATTGCTTACCTACATGTATGTATATGTGGAAGGTACGTAACGTATATCATTAAAAACGAAAAAGACAATAGTAAATGCAATTCTATAACGTTTTACTGGTTACAGCCATAAAAGTTACATATGGATATGGGTATGAATATACATAAAAATATGTACAAAGATATATTTTATAGTGCTTAATTCTGTATTTGTATATAATGGATTTTTAAATAAGAAATAAATAAATAAGTAATAAAATACAAAGTCTTTCAAGAAATACATACATATATAGTTCTCTCACCTTATTTATGCATTAATATAATTTGAATTTATTGAATATAATTTCTATACAAAATTAAAACTTTGTCGTAAAAGTTGAATATTTGTCAAACTTTTAAATATTAGGGTTATCAACATAACATTAAATTTCCTAAGCTCCAACTTTAAGACAACTCTAAATCACTTTGCTTCTACTTTAATGTATTTCCCAATTAGATTTGTATATGTACGGTATTCTGATTAGACATATTTTAGCTGCTGCAATATTCTGGTTAAAGACCATTTTCTTTAAAAATACTTGCAGTTTTATTAACCTTCAACATTATTTACATAAAAACTAAATAAATACATTATCAACTTATTGATGAAATAGAAATATATATTGTATTGATTTTACATTTAAGCTCGAGATTGTGCAACAAACTTTCTATCTTATTCGATTCGGATTCAGCAAAACTTAAAGAAACAAGAAAATACTTTCTTATAAAAGTTTTGTGTAATTACTTATAACACGAAAATATAGTTAATTGAATTTATGTACATATTTGCATAGTCATACACATATGCATACATATGTATGCAGGAAGTTTTCTGTTAAGGGGCCCTTCTGCTTCTTCTTCGGCTTCTGTTGCAGATACAACTGGAATTTGTAAGCTGTGTCTCTGTAATTTCGACTATAGCAATTTTGTAGCGCTTGGGACGTTGGGGTGTATATACAATGCTAGACATTTCGATAGGTTCACGCGGACGCCGCGCGCCGGCTCGTTTGTCGAAAGGGGAAGTCAACAATTCTGCCACAGACTATTTTTATGTGCTACGGCGTTTCATTGTGCGGCGGCAACAACAACAGCAGCAGCAGAAGGCAAAACAAGTCGCCAAACGGGTTAATGACGGCCAGAGAAGCATATTATGGAGATGCCGAATAAAAGAATGACAAGCAGAGAGAGAGAGAGAGAGAGAGAGAGAGAGAGAGTAAAATAGAGAAAGAGAGGAGAGAAGCAAAATCGCAAAGGAACAGAAGCAGCAGCAGCGGCAGAGCAATGGCAGTGGCGGCAGCAGGTCGCTTGACGCTTTTCGCTGCCCATGTGGAGGCCTACAAACACACATACACACACAAAAACACATAACAGCGTGACCGTCTCACAGAGATCCACAGACACACATACACTGTCAAATAAACATCTCATAGCACACACAAATACGAGGCGCACACACTCACTTGCACACACACGTGCGCAATCATACATGTATATACACATATGTAAATGGAGAAACGACAGCTAAACAAACAGCAAGAACAACAACGTCGAACGTCGCGACTTTTGCTTTAGCCCTAGCCCCAATCTTTGAGCTTTTTGCTTTACGTTTTTTCGCTTTTACGCGCTATGCCTGCCCACTGTTTTTCGTTCTTGTTCTTGCTCCAACGATTTCGTTTCCATTCGTTTCGTTTCATTTGGTATGGTTTTTGGGCTTTAACATTGCTGCTGCGGCTGAGGCTGTCGCTGCTTGGCAGCTTGACTGAGGCAGAAGCAGACGATGAAAACAAAAAACGTATGTAAAAAAAACAGAATAAGCAATATAAAGAAACGCCAGAAAGCATGTAGAAACGGAAAAAGAAGCAGGGACAGCAGAAGCAGTGGGTGTTGAAGCAGTATGTAAGGAGAAGTAGGCATTAACTGCACTTACCGCACTAACTGCAATCAGTTACTTTTACGTTTATTTTTCGCATTTGCAACTATTATTAGGATTTGTTATTGCACATACACTCACAATAATACTCAGATATACTATGAAAATATATGTAAAACTATTTATGTACACGCACTCCTTTCATTTCCTTTTTATTTTATTATTTTGTGTTATAAACTATTTTTTGTATGTATGTATTTTCTATTTATTAATATTTTGTTGCTCAGAGATTGATATTTGTATTATATTTATGTTTCGCACTTGCTTACGTCGCGCGCACGTACATCGGCTTTGTGCCCAATATGTCGTATCATTTACTTGCGTTGCCACTGAACTGTACACATTGAGTGCCAATAAGAGACTGACTTGTATGTTTGCTCTTGAGACGACAACAGCAACGGCTGATTCTGTTATTGCTGCAGCAGACGCTCTGACGTCTTTGTGGTGACAACAGCGTAGAGACAACTAGCCATAGCTATTTGCAAATTAGAATAAAATTAACGAAGAAAAATTCAGATAATGCCTTAATAAATGTTATCTATTTATTTTATTTTTGAGTGCTTGGTAAAGATATTAAAAAAGTTTTTTGTGCTCATTTGCAGAATTTTGTCTAACGCTTGTACTGCTTGTTGTACTGCTTGTCAGACTGTTAATAAAAAGAAATATATACATTTTGCACTGCTTAGGCTGTTAAATGGTTTTCTGGTGCAATATCATTGTGCGGTCCTGTGGCGCAATGGATAACGCGTCTGACTACGGATCAGAAGATTCCAGGTTCGACTCCTGGCAGGATCGGATATTTTTATTTATTCTTGTTTATTTTGTTTTTTATATTAATCTAATTTTTATGGCCCCGCTAAAAAAGCTCTTCAATTCAACAACAAACTGCATACGTATGTATGTAGTATATTAATTCATATATACACATATTATGTACTACTAGTCATGGAATGAACTGCTTGACAAAATGAGTTTTTGAAACAAGCACGACAAGCGGTCCTGTGGCGCAATGGATAACGCGTCTGACTACGGATCAGAAGATTCCAGGTTCGACTCCTGGCAGGATCGATTTTTTTTTTCATTATTAAGAAAATTGTAAAAAATATAATTTAAAATTTCTTAGTAATAAGTACAAATGTGTATTTTAGAAACAAGTAAAGTAGTTAGCAGCTTCCATTATTATACGAATTCAATATGTTTTCCTATAGTTAAAAGATGAATTTTTTTTTTTGTATTTTACATAGACAACAGGGAAATTAATTTCATTATAGAAACAGCTTTAGATTCTGTGGACGTGAATAATTTTAGACACCACAAGATATATCTTTATTCTCAATTTGAATTTAAATTTATTCATATTGTGATGTTGCTCTTTCAAAGCAGTGTCTCCCATATGGTCTAGTGGCTAGGATATCTGGCTTTCACCCAGAAGGCCCGGGTTCGATTCCCGGTATGGGAAATGTAACTTTTTTAATTTACTTTTTTAGACTTGAATGGGAAATTTATACTCATTTCTCCAATGCTATAATATATTTGTATATTATTTGAACGATCATTAAAAATATATATTATTCAGCGAAAGCTGCAAATTTAACTCATTGCAATTCTAACAAGAAAGCTCTAGTCGCGACTGCTCAACTACGAGATCCCCTGAATTAATGTTTAAAAAATTCTGTTTACACATGAAACAGCCCATGCACACACACAGGCATACGCAGGCACGCATAAGCACGCATTGGCTGCAGTGTGGGCTTACTACGGGATGTGGTAGATGGACTCTCTCCACGAAACTTTCAGATCATGATTATAACATTTGACAAAGCTCAAGTTTCTAGTAATTGAAGTACGCCATTGACAGATTTAATGGTGAGGGGTGAATATAACAGTGGAGGGTGAATCATAGCTCTAGCTCTAAAGATGTCGCAGATATAAAATTATTACGTATTTTCGATAATGTATTAATCGATAACAAAAAACCGGCACACTCCATTTACGGGTAATTTACACGGACCTAGGAAAAAAATCAAGAGTCTTGCTCTTGTAACTTTTGAGATCGACGTGTTTAAAAATACTGACAGACGGACAGACAGACAGGGATAAATCGACTCACCTCGTAGCCTTGATCAAGATATATATACTTTATCGGGTCTGCCACGCTTCCTTATTTTAACAAAACCATTATACCCTGATTTCGCATTTTCAATGGGTTCAGGGTATAATAAATGTGTCGCATATTCTTCGATTACGACTTTCTGGTGTTATGCAAATCCCAAGATATTTGCCGCACACATTTTGCACACTCGTAACCGCATAAGCATCAAGTCCTTCGAGTAAGAATCATTTGGATGTCACCTTAAACGTCCTTGACGTTGAAATGCGCACACAGCTGGTGTGGCATTTTACCATTTGCAATGAGTCCCGTCCTCATTTCATGACAAACTTTGTATATTTTCCGCTGCTTAGCATAGAGCGACACATAATCCACACGCTCCACACGTCTTGTTTGTTTGTCAATGACAGTTTCTCCGCCTTTGATTGGACAACTTTTATTGAATTGCATTCCATATGAAAAATAAAAATGTAAATAGGGAATTTTTAGTAAAATAAATAAAATAAAAATTGGTAAACGAAAAAATTTAATTCGATCCTGCCAGGAGTCGAACCTGGAATCTTCTGATCCGTAGTCAGACGCGTTATCCATTGCGCCACAGGACCGGTGACGATTAGTTGCCAAAAGCTCATCAAATGATACTGGATGTCATGTTCATCTTTAATGTTACAATTATCAGCGGAAGATGTATAATTATATATGTTTATAATAATAAACAAAAGTTAATGCTATTAATATTATCTAATTATTTATATTTTTATTTTATTTCTAAGCATTTTCAGCAACAAGCCGAGGGCCTAATAGCTAGTTCTTCATTTCTAAGATACATAGTTTTAAGTTTATATTGATACGAGCCCCGGCTATAAATAAAGTAAAACAATATTAATCTAATTGTAGTAGTTGATCAGTTATTAAAAAATAAATAAAAGAAACTCGATCCTGCCAGGAGTCGAACCTGGAATCTTCTGATCCGTAGTCAGACGCGTTATCCATTGCGCCACAGGACCGCGTGGCTATTTGTTGTCTGCACCCTTATAGAAGCAGTGTCGAAATCAAGTAATGAACTGCATTATCGACACATTTGCAATTATAAAAAGTGTGTAAAGCAGTTTAATGATTGATACAGTGGTCTAACACATCTATGGGAAACTGCTTGCAAAATAAATTGGCTTCTTCTTTAGTGTGAAACATTTGTCGGTATAATAGACTTATTATAATTTTGACAATCTTAACCATGCATCCCATATTGTCTAGTGGTTAGGATATCCGGCTCTCACCCGGAAGGCCCGGGTTCAATTCCCGGTATGGGAAAAAGTAGTCATATTAGGGAAGCTTTTTTTTTTATTAAAAAATTCAATTTAATTTTGTTATAAAAGGAATGAATATAAACTTCTTTTTGAAAGCATAACGCAGCGAAAATTGCAAAGTGGAGAGGAAATATTTTGTCTCATTTTTAAATTTGAACAATACTTGCTTGCCAAGTCACTAATAAAGCTATTTAGAATGACTGGCAATCATTGAGTTTTCATATGACTAAAAGTCATACATTTAACAAACCCGAACACAGTCGCTTGAAGCTTCTAGAGACATTAACATGTCATTCGAATTTTTGTATTTGATCGCATGTTAGCTATCGTATATTATGCCTGGTAATGACTTGCTTTCAGTTACTGGAAGAAATTAGGTGTAAAATATATCCAACCATCTCTCCTTTTTTGGCAATGCTTGTAGTTTGTTGAAAGCCCGGGCCTCGGTTTTCGAGCAGGTTATGTTAATGCATAATGCTAAAGGAATTGAGAATGCTTAACTGGAGTCTAAATGCTGGATCGGACTACACAGCTGCTCAAACACCTTAATCTGATCAAAACTATGCTGATCAAGAAGAGTAACCTCTTCAGAAATCGTGCACTACAAACCGATCCACGGAATGCTCCATTGAGCTACAAACATTTAATCTGATCATAGGTAACGAATGATCGTAGGTACCGAATGGAAGGGGCAGTGCACTAAAATTTCTCCTGTTGGCGGTGAGGCGTTACATGTACTCATTTTATAATTTTCAATTCAATTTTACAACTACGAAGATTGGCAAACATCTGGAAAGCCATTAGAAAAGATTACCAGCAGATTTTATTATGAGCATTAAGAATATATGCACATTTTTAACCACAGATCTTATAGCGACGACACAATTTGACTTGAATGCCACTTCGCTTCAGGACATGAATAGTGAATTTAATAAATACAAGAAAGGTATCTTTAAAATGAAATTGAGTCCAGCTTTTGATTTTATCACCTTACCTGCTGTCCATCTTGTTTCGCCTGCACGAGTAAAAGTCTTTTCTAAGCATACCCAGACTTCAAAAGGCACAGCGTTGCTTCAGAAGATATGACTTGGTTGACATATTGTTGTGAGCCCGATAATATGCAGAAGAAAGAAAAACAAAAAACTATATTATCTGGTGGCTTATGTTGCTGTCTTTCAAACAGCTATGTTTGAGATGACTAATCTAATATGACTCTTGTATTGTTAGAGTGCGCACTCAATACGAATCCAAAATTATTTGAGTGAGGAGGTCTAACACTATTTTGGTGATTGATTATGCTCGCATTCAATACAACGGTTATATAATTAACTTGAATTAAATGGTCTAATGTAAAATAAGTTAAAATAAAATAAACAAATAGGCTCAGCATTGCTCTATTAGTTATTCTTATCCTATCGCTGAGTTTGTAAGGCTCAGCGCTCGTCTCTTACATAATCTGTCACTAGGATTGCAAGGGTTAGTTTTCATCTGTCTATTTATAGAGTGACTCCTCCGAAACGGTTCGACCGATACTCACGAAATTTTGTGTGCATCTATTTTTCATGGCCCGTTTTTGTTTTTATACCCTGAACCCATTTTTAATGGGAAATCAGGGTATAATGAATGGTTTTGTTGAAATGTATGTAACAGGCAGAAGGAGGCGTGGCAGACCCCACAAAGTATATATATTCTTGATCAGGTCGACGAGCCTAGTCGATTTGGCGTGGGTGCTTGTGTGTGTATGTGTTTGTGTATGTGTGTGTGTGTATGCCTGTGTGTGCGTGTGTGTGTGTATGCCTGTGTGTGCGTGTGTGTGTGTGTGCGTATTTCTTGTGTAAGCTAAAAGACGCGAATAATTATTGAAATAGCTATTGCTCTAAGGACTCACGGGATTTCGTAGTCGAGCAGTCTCGACTAGAGCTTTCTTACTTGTTTTTTGTTTTTTTTGTTTTGAAGCAACGAAAT